CCTGCTGGAATCGACTATTGCGTTGCAGGGCCATTTACATTCTACTCTTACAAAAATTACCCGAATAGACAATCGAGAAATTCTCATCATTTCTCGAGCCCAAATAGAACACGGCTCGCAGACAACGCCGAAAAGAGGCGAAGATAAAGCACCTAATACTCCCAAAGCCGGGTGCATTCCCGGTGAAGAAATCGCCAGAAGTCATCTTGCTCGATATGAGTTTATTTTCCTAACTCAAGTGCCTTGTTTGAATCCATCATTTGGGAAGCTTTTTGAAGTGGAAATTTTGAAATTTTACTTTAGCTCAAATTAATCCTGACTTCAATCTCCAGCCCCTGCCTAACGCTGTATCCGCTAACACTGTGAGTTGTGATTTTGCGGCAGACAGAAATGAATATTGCAAAGTTGTCTCTTGAATCTGAGGTGATTTACAACTGCCGAAAAATGGAAGTTAATTGACAAGTCCCTGCAAAAAAGATTCCAGATTTCATCATGAATTTCAATGCTTTGATCATAAAAATATGCCTGCAGCAGCCGAAAAAGCGTGTAAAAATCCAGGTGGATTTTTACTTTTTGGCATGTAGCAAAGCAGATTGCCAGCATGAATTTCCCAATCTTTCATCATCAATAATCGAGCGGATTTTTCGCAACCACCTATTAGTCGTAGGTCAGCCAAAATTTCCCAATAATTACTCGACGTTCGCGATGATCTCTGTTTTACCAAGGTTTTCTCAATTTCCCAGGAGAACGCTTGGGTTTGGGCGCTCATGGTCTTCACGCTCTTTCTGACTCTCCCTCTTCTCTCTCGCTCTCTCTCTCTCTCTCTCTCTCTCTCTCTCTCCTCTCCTTGAGCATCAAAACATTCTTACTCGTTTCTAGCGCTCTCTCGCTCTTATTTCTCTGCCCCCATTCTTTTTCCGCGCTCTCTCGCTCTTATTTCTGAGCCCCTATTCTTTTCCGCTCTCTCTCAGCTCTTATTTCTGTGCCCTATTCTTTCCATGCTCTCTCGCTCTTCCCTCTCCCTCTCCTCTATCCCCGCTCTCTCACTCTCTCCCTTCCACCAGTTGAGAAGGGCAGAGAAACCAAAAGTTCCCCATCGCCACTCCCATTTTTCTCTGCGTCTCTTCCTTTCTCCCACTCTCACGCCCGCTCTCGTAGTATATTCCCCTCACTTTCGGCTAGTGCCGATTCTCGTCGACGTCGTCGTGGTTGTGTTGTGGTTTGTGGCCCAGGACTCTGGGCGTTAGTCTGTGCAATCCCGTAGAGAGCAACCTGGCCCTACCAACCCCCGCCTCACAATGCCCGCTGCTGGCCGTTGTTGACCGAATGAGCAGCGAGGAGGAGCCGCCGATGACGTCGATTCAGGCAGCTGCTAGCAGAAGGTTTGGGATTGCGTGACTGAGAATGATAGCTTGGCGTCTATTTTCATCGTTGTCGTTTTAAAGTTCTGAAAAGCTCTCAAAACTTTGGTTTTTCGATTTTGAGGAGGGATTTCGAGCCGAGATGGTTATGTTTTTGCGTTTTGCAACCAGGAGTCAGGGGATTTCATGATTCTGAATCAGAGCTGTGATTACTGACTTTGTCGTTGTTGTTTTAAGCTCCAAAAGCTTGCTTTGGGTCGTTAAATCATGCTTTTGGCAAGGTTTTGTTTTTGTTCTCACAGGACATAAAAGATTCTGATTATCGCTTGCATATGGGCACTTTTGAATGGTATGTGGTAGTTGTTAATTTTACTTTCCGAAAAGCTCCTTAGGACCTAGGAAAAGCGTCGTGCTTTGTAAGGTTGTGGTAGGTTTCTGTCATTTGTAATGGTACGCTTATCGAGGATCCGTGGCCATGGATCAGGTTCAAAGCCGTTAGTCTGTTCTGCTCTGCGAGGCGATTAGTCATCCCAACCGGCTTAGAGACGTTTTTTCTTATCGCCATCTCACTTCTTTGCTTATTGCGGCCGGGTCGAACGCTTTTTTTGCGGTTCCTCCCCCGAATTTCTGGGGCACTCAATTCTTCTTCTCTAAAAGATGAAACTTAAGTAATTTACTTTGCTTATTAACACGGAACAATTTTTTCATGACAGAATGGTCATAAAATAAAGATTTTCAGTGACCGGGCCAAGGAGATGTTGCGCGCCGTCCCGAAATGGGCGATCGTCGTCGGGGTCGTCGTGGCCATCTGCGAGCTGGATTATCATTATCTGGAGGAATAAGGTTAGTGTCATGGTTATTATCTTTGTTAAATCTAAAACAAAATTTGTGAAAAATCTTCTAATTTAATTTTTAGGCACTTTTTAGGCTGCACTAACTCAAAAAAGTGTTTTAGCAGCAAAGTGCACTAGAAAAGGGAAACAGTGACCCGTCAAACACGTGAAAAACATTTGTTTTCCTTGAGCTCTTAATGCGCTGATTTTGTAAGCAGATAAAAAAGTGCTGCTAGCGAAAAACAACCTTAATTTGTCTGAAAATACGAAAAAAAGGGCTGCCTGTAAAAAGTAAGTAACCCAATCAATCCTTTCCAGATCACCGGTCATGCGCACGCGATGGCCTCGCGGGTGCACACCCTCTTCAACCTCGAGCTGATCATGTGCGTCGGCTCGTACTACATCTACCAGCGCTACAAGGCGGCCATTGTGTGAGTTTTCATATAAAATTTCTGCAAGGATATGACCAATGAGGCATTAATGAAATCTTTTAAGCCCTAGGGTATCTGATTACGGCATGAAATTTAGTCATTTCGTGGTCACTTCTAAATAAAGTTCCATTGAATTATGCTAAATTAACGTAATTTCCCAGAAAACGATGAAATGTCATTTTTTTGCAGATCCTACAACTTGAAGGCCACCACCGACCACCAAACCGGAGATGGACCAATCTGCCCGGCCGACGTGTTAGAAGCCATCGAATTTTTTCCATACTGAAAAGAGTTATTCTTCCAGGGGCGCCTTTGTTGATCTTCTTGGCCTGCGGACAGTCAGCTTTTGCGTTTTACATGGTACGTGACAAAGAGGAGAGAGGAGAGAGAAACGAGTCCAAGCAGTTCAGGAAAATTCACTTAAAACTTTATTTTTCAGGTCCGAGGCCAAACCGAGTGTCCACCATACGCCCTGCTGTGCCTCATCTGCTTGGCCGGTTACCTGCACCTCTTCATTCTGTACTCTTCTTCTCCGATCTCGTGCTCTTCATCTCCTACTTCTTTGCCAAGGTCACGGGCAAAATTGAGGAAGAGGGCGGAATGTCGAGGTACGGCGACTGGCCCGTCTTTTTCAAAATAAGTTTCCGCTTGAATTTGATGAATTTCAGCTTTTACGAGAAGTACCGACCTCGCCGCGCTGCTGGTGACCATCGTGGCCGTGTCGTTGATCAGCGTCCGGGTTGTATCGTACTTTTTTACACCGCCCTCGGTCGTTGATGAGACGTTCAAGACTTCACGGTGAGTAACGTCACCCTCTTGCGCTCTCTCTCTCTCTTTTTCTCTCGAACTTAAACTCGAACTTGAACTTGAACTCGCCGTTAAACTTGCCCTCGAAAAACGCAAAAATAGTCATTTTTCAGAAATTCAAGCCCGGCTCCGAACCCAAATCGCCCTCCTCAGCGATTTGCATATCGGCCCAAGCGTCGGCCGAAAGCGAGTGCAAACCATCGTCGACGTGGTCAACAGCATTGAATCCGGGTACGGAAAGCACAAAACGCAAAAGATAGTAACAACAAAATCAAAGCTTTAATTCAGTCAGAATTTTCTATTTCCCGATTTATATTTTCCAGATATCATCGCCATCAGTGGTGACCTGGCTGATGGATACGTCAAGGATTTGGGCGAGGCGTGCCAGAATCACTGTGCGAGCTCCGGTCGAAATATGGCGTGTACTTGCGACCGGTCAGTTGGGAGAAAATGCCTATTATTGTTCATTCCTGTTAAAAAGTCCGTGACAGACGGATTTAAAAAAGTGGGACGATCCTTATTACCTATTAAAACGCATTAGAAATGAAATTCCAAGGCTTTACTTCCGAAAAGCGGTCACGTCCCAACTCCATGGGCAAAAAGCAAAAGTAGCCCAATGCGGGGCTCGAACCCGCGACAACCAGATTAAGAGTCTGGTGCTCTTCCGACCTTTGACAAGGAGACCGTTTTTGAGTATCGTCGGGGCTTTGGCACGGGACCAAGTCTATCTTGTTGGGAGATTTGACGCTGATCTCCGAATACGGTAACCGTTTTTAGCGGTAGCCATTTTCGAGTAAGTTATGACGATTTAAACCTCAAAACAGCCCAAAGTCGGATTCTTTCGATAGTCATCAAAGTGTTTCAAAATAGGTTTTAGACAAAACTTGTTGATACGGCTTGTTCAGAAAAAAATTATCTATAAAATGTACCATCTTTTCCAAAATCATTGAAAAATTGGAAAAATTTGATAAATGGCGGCCCATAATTTTACAAAAATTTTCAAAATTTCAGCATTTTTGAGATAAGTAGCTTATTTTATAGAGAATTTTTTTTCTGAACAAGATGCACTATCAGGTTTTGTCTCAAACCTATTCCGAAGCCTTTTATGACTATCGAAAGTAGCCGATTTTGGGCTGTTTTGAGGTTTAAATCGTTCATAACTCGAGTAATGCTATTCCAAAAAAACGGTCACCATTCGGGGCAATCAGCGTAATACCGCACAAGATAGGCTTGTCCGCCAAAGTCCCGACGACACTCAAAAACGTCTCCTTGTGAGCTAACCGGGCGGCGAAGAGTGGAAGCGCAGGGACCTAGATAAGGGAGTGGGCGGCCGTTCCCCGCCCAGGTGTGAAGTGTCAATCAAACAATAGTGGTTCGGAGTGCCTTTTTGGCAAATGATAGGAAAAACAGGCTTATGATACTTTTTAAAATCACACAATAATCTCCAAGCAGCGTGTGTAAAAATTAGGAGAAGAGGGGAAAATAACCAATTGAAAAATATACTGAAAAATTTATGAAAACATTATTGAAAACTAATAAAAGCTTGGTAAAAGTTAGCTCATTTTTAGGAAACCACGAGTACTACCACGGCAACGTCGAGGAGTGGTTCACGTTCCTGCGCGGCTGCAACATCAAGGTGCTGCACAACGAGAACTTCCGATTGACGACTGGGAAGGGTGAATCAGTGTGCATGGCCGGCATTGATGATCTAATCACGTTGAAGCTACAGTAAGCCCCACTCCTTTACTCTTTTACTCTAAAAAATTAAAACGTTGACTAAATTATCTTCATTTATATTATTTATTGATTCCCTTAGCTAATCCATAGAAAAATGGCTCGATGGCTCTTTCAAAAAAATTTTCAGTATGCACGGCCATCAGATGAACCCCAGAAAAGCGCTGGCGGGTTGCCAGAAATCCGATCTCGTCGTTTTGCTTGCCCATCAGCCAAACGCGGCCCGATACGTGTTGTCGGACCCGGCGACAAATGGAAATGTTGACGTCGTGCTATCTGGTTAGTTCTCTCTCTCTCTCTCTCTCTCTCTCTCTCTCTCTCTCTCTTTTTTGTCTCTCAGTTCCGTTCTCTGATCCTTGACACGCTTACTTTTCTGTCCATTTTTGTGGTGAAATCGGTGGGGCACAAACCATAAACCGATGAGTAATTCGGGGTCGGGATTCGATGGAAATTCTCGGTTTTTGGCACCCCCCGGAAAGTGATGGATGCAAAATAGGAAAAAAGCGTTAGGTCTCAAAAGTTAACGAGAATTCTCTCTCCTCTTTTCCTCTCTAATCCCCTCCATTTTCAGGCCATACCCACAACGGTCAGTTCATCTTCTTTGTGCCGTTCGTCCACCTGGCAAACGCGTGGACCCACGGGCTGTACTGGAATGTCCCCACCAACACCCATATCCTCGTCTCGGCCGGTGTCGACTTCTTCGGCCCGCCAGTTCGAACTTCCGGCTACTGCGAGGTGGTCCGGTTGACGATTGCTGGAAAGTCATAGATGGCACTTGGGCTTTGGGCAGGTTGAGGGGCGCAGTTTGATCACGTAAGCGGATCGGTATCGGAAAATGTTATTTTTGCGTCTAAAAATTTGCCAGAAATTGCCAAAAAATCCGCAAAAGTTACATAAAATTTTATTTCTACTGTAATTTATAAAGTAGCTGACCTGACCCGACTTACCCTACCGCATTCCCAAAAATGATAAATCCCTCAACCTGCCCTCAACTCCCATTCACCCGTACCTTGGCCCCTATCGTAATTTAATTGTGATTTGTTGCGCGTGTGTTCCCTCGATCGTGTCCCCATTGGTGTTTGGTGTTCGATTCCCTTCTTTTTTTGTTTTGCTGCCATGCTCTGCTGCACTCGGAATATTTTTTGCTGTCCTTTTCTCTGATTGTGGTCTAATCTGATAAAATTACTGGTCCTCGGATTTGATTTCTGTTCGTTTTCCATGATTTCCATGCAGTACGCTGCGCCATTTGGTTGTAGCGCGGAAATTTGGTCTTTCGGTTGTAGTTTGTACTTTGCACTACATGCCTAAGCCTAAGCCTAAGCCTAAGCATAAGCCTAAGCATAAGCCTAAGCATAAGCCTACGCCGAAGCCTAAGCCTAAGCCTAAGCCTAAGCATAAGCCTAAACCTAAACCTAAACTTAGGTTTTATCCTAAACCTAAGCTCTTCCGAGTTACTTACCTTTATATTTCGAACTGGGGTTATCTCAAGTTTATCCCGAAAACGTGTAAATTGGTGTGAATTGGTGTTTTTCATCTTTTTCAATCTTAGAATTTTGTTATTCATAATCTCTTATTTATGCGATTCCTTCATCTAGTCCGTTCTAACTTGAACTTATCCAGAACCTCGAAAAATCCCTGAAAAGCCAAAGCCCATGCTGTTATTCTTCCTATTCTTTTTTTACTTCCAGAATTCTATTACTTTGCAGTTTGGAAGTAATAAATAATGCTCTGATAAAAATTGTACAACACTGGAGTTTTTCTCATTGCAAAAAAAAACAGAAATATTTTTTTAAAACAGAGCTGGACCCGAGTCCGTTAGGGGAAATACCCCCCGGAAATTAACCAATCAGGCTGCTGAATTTGGACTGATTTTTGAGGACGTCGTCATTCCTGAAATTCTTTGTAATCTTTTATCTAAATTTTGACAGCACACCAAAACCGCAGGAAAACAGAATTCAAGGAATCAAACTCAGCACAGAAAGTTCTCGAAACTTTTATCTTTAAAAAAGTTTTTTTGTTTGTGCTGATCTTCTCTGCACTTTTTTATTCCAGATGGTTAAAAGGAAGAGAGAGAGCGAGAGAGAGAGAGAGAGAGAGAGAGAGAGAGAGAAAGAGAGAGCGACAGAAGAAAAGATAGTAATTTTCATTATTTTAATCCCTAAAACAAAATACCGCACTTCCGTTTATTACTCCCTGGCGATTCTGCATGGTATAAACGGGGAATAACAGTCCCTAATTAGTCCCAAATACCGTAACCTTCCTCTTCGGCTGTTATCCAAATAGGTCCCGCCGAAACCATTCACTCACGGTATAGCTGGAGGAACAAATACCAGACAACAATACTCCTAAAGAGAATTTTTGCATTTTTCCACTACAAACCACCGTACAATCCTCATTGTATTAAAAAATAACTACCAACTACTGCGAATTTTACCCGTGTTCGTTTGCGGCTACTTCTGATTCGAAACTCGTGCAGTCGGACAGCTTCCGATAGCATCAATACACATACCCAGGGCCGTAGCGATCCCCGATTTTTGGGGGGGCAACTCCAAAAAAAAATTTTTTGGCAACGTATCAAAACGATCAAAAACAGCGCCGCAGGCGAAAAATTTTGAAAAACTTAGGGCTATGACAGTAAAAACAGTCTTAAAACAACTATAAAAAGCGCCGCAGGTAAAAAATTTTCACGAAAAAAAATCATAAGGGTCCCCCCTTATGAATTTTTCGGCCTTCGGCCGATTTTGGGGGGGGCAACTTGCCCCAGTTGCCCCCCCCTTCCTACGGGCCTGCACATACCCCCCAAGCTTGGCCTTTCCGGAAATTCGCAAATTACGCTCGCTGTACCGCGTATCGTATCGGATTCTTTGAAAATCGGCGCAGAAATCGCCGGAACCCCCGCCCGCCCAAATTTGGTTATTTTTGTTGACGGTACGGTGCTCAATCGTGGGCCGTCAAATTCGATTGTCTGCTGCCGCTATATAAGTAAAAAGCTGACGCTGGGCCGTTCCTTTTCCAAAACACGACGATTTCGGTCCATAGTGGTGCTTTAAAGGCGTTTAGAAGTACCGGAACCCACCCTTATGTGCGTGGGGTGTCGACAGCTACGCGGCACAACAAAGAACGTGCATTCTTTTTGAAACATTTAGGTTATAACGCTGAGCAATAATTTGTATCGCGTTTAACGGGCCTAAGAAGGCAAGGCTACGGACATTTTCTTAGTGCGCAGCTCCCAACGTGGCTCCTTAATCAAAACATGTTGGTTTCCAAAAGCGACAGGTTGCCAAACACGACGATTTTGGCTTTGAAGTGCCTTTAAAATTTCAGAATACTGGTTTTTGGTGTCTTTTTTCCTTCATCTTCACCCTTCCATCCCTTTCTCCGGAGTGCCCGGACCCGAAATCGGATTCCCACCAATGCAAATCTCGATGTTTAGCGGCGGGGCTAATTTAAGAATTATTTACGCGCCACTGAAGCTAGCCGTACGTTCCTTGAGAAATTTAACGAAACGGATGACAACATGCACAAATTTTAGCATTTTCTTCAATTGCACGTTTTTCGATATTTATAAAAAATATATTTTGTGGTTGAACTTGGATTTTGCAGAAAAATGACGGTAGAAGCTTTCGCCACCATCACTCCCTCGAATTTTGCTGAGCTGGTGGAGACCGAAGAAATTTTGGTGGTGCGAACGGCGCATCTGGTATCGTTGATCTTGGCTATGGTAGGCCTTTCCGTCATTTTTAAAAATCTGTAAAACTGCTTTTAAACATCTTAAAATCTCATTCATAGAAATACTGCTACGATAGCTAAATCAAATCCCTCTGTGCAATTATAAAGCCTGAAAATTAAAATTTGAATGGATTTTAAGCATCTAAAATAACGTCAAAATTTTCAGATTAGCATCTTTGGGCTGTACGCAAATTGGTGCTCAATGTGGATCACGAGAAAAGCACCGGAGCTCCAGAATTGCTTCGGGATGATTTGTTTTTCGCAATATCTTGCAAATTCTGGTCTGCTACTGATTTTCCTATTTTGGTGTGTGCCGATGACGTGGTTGTAAGTGTTTTACAAGGCAGTACCTAACCTGAATTTTGCATTTGTAACATGTAACAACAGGTTTATTCAGGGAAAGCTAATCACTAATTTTGCTAATTCACTATCGGGGTTTTCAAAATTTTGCGCTTTAGCCGTGATGATCAAACCTCGCTCGGCTTCTGGGGCAAACTGATGGGCCAGATCAACACGCTGTTTTGGGACAATTGTGTATATTCCCATTTGGTGGTCTCAATCAATCGAGCGGTTACGATTGGTAGGATTTTTTTCTCCATAGCCATCCAATACCTTAAAATGTTGACAAACAAAAATCAATAATTTCAGCATACCCGACGAAGAGTCATCGCTGGTTTACACCGAAGAATAGTCGATTTATTGTGGTAATCTCATGGAGCATTGCTGCCGCCTTGAATATACCTTATTTCTATCGTGAGTCATATTTTGCGACTTTTCCAGGCTAATCCATTTTTTTAAACCTCTATCTTCTTTATTTCCCATTCAAAATAACTTGATTTTTTTCAGTTAAAAAGTTAATTTTCAATTCGGACAAAACGTGCCGAACCGTAATCACAAATTCCCACATTGTAACCTGTGCTCGGAAAGCCAATTTTTGCCCGTAAAATCAAATTGTTATTTTTCTACTTCCAGGCGACCGTTGTTGGATTGTCTACACCCCGGAAAGCTACACGTGGGACTATGCCGATAATGAGTGCGGATATTTCATTGGTTCGTTTACATTATTTTTGCAGTAAAAAAATAGGATTTGCTCTTTGAAGATCAGAGCGATCCTTGAGAATGGGCTTAGGCGTAGGGTTAATCTCAGGCTCAGGCTCAGGCTTAGGCTTAGGCCTAAGCAAAGGAAGGAACCTAACGTAAAAATAACCAAAAAATACCAAAAATACCTTCCAGGGACAATTCTGGACTGCTACGTCGGGATGGGTGTTTTCAGCTTAATTACTATTATCGATATTTTTACGTTATTGTCGTTGAAGTTTGGATTAAAGGTATAAAAATCCAGAAAAACTGACTTTTGATATCTAGCAAATCAATGACGGAGCTACAGCTGAATCCTCTGCACGACGACGAAAGATGGAGATCAGGTTTTTCATGCAGGTGAGGGAGAATAAAGCGGGCGTGAGCAAGAGAGAAAGAGAGAGAGAGAGAGAGAGAGAGAGAGAGAGAGTGAGTGAGAGAGAGTGAGAGAGATCCAACTATTATTTCCAGAGCTGCATCCAGCTAGTCATCTTCATCTACCTGTTCGCCAGCTTCTACTTCATCTCCAAGTTCTTCACCTCAAAATGGGCCCTCTTCTTCACGATCACTTTTTCGTGGCAAATGTGCCATTCGCTGGATGGGTACGTCGATAATTTCCTAAGAATTACTGGGAAATAATTTCAGGTGTGTCTTGCTCCTCTTCTTCCTCTCGAAGACAAGAAAAGCCATCTCGGCGCAAACCGCCTCCAGAACTTACCAAAAAGAGGTGAGTAAATGGCCCTTCCCGACCATTTTTAGAAAATTAAATTTTCTGCAAACGTCGTAGCTACTCAGATCTTTGTTGTGCGCTTTTCATGACCCGGGGAATTACATTGCGGAGACTGGTGCCCGGCAATTGCCGGAAGATTGGGCAAAAATTGGCGAGCCAGGCTAGAGACAGACATCGTACCTCGAGAAATGAGGTTTCTAGCTTAAGGCGAATCGGAAGACATTTGGCCAGGGCAATCTCCTTCGAAAATCAAGCAGGATGGGGGCATTTTTCATACTGTTTTTTTTTAGAATCTCGCGTCGACGATCACTAGGGCCAACTCCCCGCTTCCGCCGATTCGCCGAGACGATAAAAGTCTGGAGACGGAGAAAAATTTGAGTGTATAATGGCGTTTAGTGAAATAATTTGGATCATACTTTTTAAAGATACTTACGATGCCTACGCATTTTATCAGAAATTTAATTTCTGACTGATACCAGCTTGATTCGGATCTAAACCTACGTTTTTGGATTTTCAAATGTCTACATTTTGAATGTGTCTTGGTGCAAAAATCACTACTCAAAAACAGCCAGATAGAAAAATAACGTAAAGTAAATTTTCCCGCATTTTTTCGACCCAAGCCGCGCCGTGATTAGGCGCCAAAAAGTGCCCCCAACCCTTCTTGTAACCAAAAATTGGTGATTCAGCCGTGTATAGCCCTACATTCCTGCCCTGTAAATTGCCGTTGCACTTTTTGAATGAACGCGCGCACGTGGGGCTGGGTGAGTGAGTGCGCGAAAAATACGGAATGCAGCGCGAATGGAAAAGGAGAGAAAATAAACATGCACCAGGACAACAACCCCCCACGCGTAGCGATCGTTTTGTTGAAAAGGCGAAGCAAAGATTTTGGCTTTTGGTGCCTAAAATCAACAAAATAAGTTGCTAAAAGAGAGAAATCGTTATTTTGTGGTGCTTTCGATGGTTGGATTTTGCGAAACCATTAAAAATCGGGATTTTCAAAAAAAGCCTTATCCTCAACATTTTTTGTATCATTTTTTTTTAGTTAATAAGTTACAAAAAAGAATCGTTTTCCGTGCATTATCAAGTGGATCCATCCTCAGTTAGCCCCGGATTAATCTAGTTTGGCGGGTCACACCAAGTTCTAATTATTTTGGCAAGTTTTTAGGGGGGGTTTTCGTTCGAAAAAAAGCGTAAGGAGATGGCTTTCAAAGTAAAAGTAACTATTACTTATCTATAAAAAAGCTAGAAGGTATCAGTATCACGAAAATTAGATGAGGAATCGTGAGCACGATTGCTGAAAAGTGCATAAATGTTTCTAACGTGCACCATTCTCAATTTTCCAAGGCTTTTTAGCTGTATCATAGTGAATTCAACAACTTCGTTAGCGTCAGTGGATAGATAGCCCTGTTTTTACGAAACACAAACAGGCATGGCTTCGACTTCCCCAAAACCATGAAAAAAGTGAGGTTGCTTGCTCTCAATAGGTTTCATAAACGCGCTGCAAAAGTTATTAAATTGGTATTTGCTCAATTTTCAATGTTCTACGCTCCTTTCTACGTTACGGCGTTGTGGCCTGAGTTTCAATAATTATTTTAGCCAACATCAGCTTCTTAGCGACCCAAAACAAAATTGGCTTCCACTAGGCATTCCAAAAAAGCTTCGAGGCGTCATGGCATTTTTTTAGGATGTTTTTGTTTGGCCAGGTAGGACCGGAAACCATTTTTGGGAATGCTTGGTGGCTAGGGGAAGGGCATGTTTACGTATGGGCATAAAGACAGACAGACACACACACACAAACCGACAAATACACACCTTTTTCGGGGGCTCAACCCTCACCTGTGGCCGATTATGGCTTCCAGGGCTTGGCGGACGCCAGTTCTCTGCCAAAATATCACATTTTTGCGGGCCGTTTGCACTTTTGAGCTTTTGTAAAACCAGATATTCTGTTTGATGTTTTGACCCCGGATTTAAAACCTGAAACGGCGACATGAAGTTCGATTAACTTGCCAGATTTTCAAGGTATTTCAAGGTAGAAAAGCAAAAAAGGTGTTAGAGCAGGTCCAGAATTCAGAATTTTACGTTTTATTGCCTTTAGAATCAGAACCTGTCCATAAATAGAAAAATGCCAATTTTTTTTAACGCTTTCCGCCTAAAAATCGCAAAAAAAAACCCGCAAAGTACAATTGTGCCTCTTTCAGCTCTTTATTTTCTGCAGCAACTTCTGCGAATTTTGGTAACAATTTTTCTATTGGTTTGAAAAGCCGCTAGACGCCACCGTTTATAAAATACAGATTTTATCCCAATCAAATTTGCTCTAGACTTTCCAACCCCTTTAAGCTTCCTAAAGCTAAAAAGTGTAAGTTACGCTTTTCCTTGCCCTTAAATTTTCTATGGATAAATTACTATGGAATTTCATGCCTTCAGAAGCCCGTTAAACGTCAAAATCTCCGAAATTTTTCGAACCCGCCGGGACCATTGTTTTCCCTGACTACGAATTGCTAAGCTTTATCTTCTCGAGCAAGTCTCAATTTCCCAGGCCTAACCATACCATTAGACCCTCGAAATCTCCTCATTTTAAAAAATCCACAAGCTTCGCAAAACCCTTCAAAACCGGTCGTCCTCCTTGGCCATGCTCCAGCCGTTTTTCTGGTTCCATTTCGTCACTTTCAGGCCAGGGTTGCCCTTTGTTGACCGGACAAGCCTGCGAGGCTGGCGTGTTGTTGTTGCTACGGTATAGGCAGCGAGAGATAGGAAGAGTGAGAGAGGCCTCTACACAGAACCCGGAGGACTGGAAATAACTTTTTCAAAAAGAGGAGGACCTGCCTGCCTGCCGTACCCAGGCGTGACTCCTGCTCGAAAAACACATACCCTCCCCACCCTACTTCATTCGGGCTATCTGCGGTCTGTCTGTCACACGGAGTTCCCCTTCCCCCGTCTGCCAAAATAGTTCCAAAATACCGTCCCCTTCCCGGCTCAACGATCTCTGAAAAATGACGTGGAAGCGGAAGGCCATTGAGTGAGTGCTTTTTTTAAACAAATTTCCCTACGCCAATAATTTTTTATTGCGATTCATGTGCATGTTTGCTGATCTCTTTTGTACACATGTCAAGCATTTTTCTTTTAAATTTAACTTTACATTCCTGACCTTAAAATTTTTAATCTTTACCTAGATGTGGCATAAAAACCGAAATTTTGTCGATTTCCTTAGACCTAAGCTTAATTCAGTTTATCCTCCTAAGCTTAATTCAGTTTTTTTAAAGAAACTTGTCGGGCATTTTTGCGTTTGATTTATGCGCCGAATTTTCTAAAATCCTACTCTATTCCGAAATTTTTAAATTTTGGTTTTTTTTTGCAGCGATTACTGCGTTTTGAATGCTTGATAAAACAATTTTTGCAATATACCTTAAAACTTGATATTTCTTTTTTAGCCCCTTCCATTAACGCCTAAACTTTCAAAAACCTAATTATGTATTTTCGAATTATACAATCTCTAATAAAATTACAAAACCGTAAATTGCAGCTATTTACTTCAATGCACTCCTAAAGAATCAATTTTCAGCAATGTCAAGAAAATCCCGATCTGGGTGCATATTTTCCTGGTTCTCGTGCTGCTAGCGGAAATGCTGTTCGGTTTCACTTTACTTACTGTAAGTTGAGCAATTTTTAGATTATCAAAAATCATATTTATCGATTTATTTTGGATATATTACGCAAAATACAAAATTTGACTTTGAGTCATCCGAATAATACTTATTTTCAGGTAGGCAAAGACCTGGAATACTGGGATCGTCACGCGTTTTTGAAAGCTTTTGCCATCGTCAACCTGGAAATTGCGATGTTTATCGCGTCGGTCTATATGTATATAAGATTTACACAAGCTTTCCCGTGAGTTCTATGCCCTAAATATCTATTAAATAATGCTTTTTATGGCTAAATATTCATTAAAGTTATTTAGTATCCCAATGCGCGGCGATCGGAAGTGTAAAGTGGGCTTTGGGTCCATAATCCGGTAAGTTACGACCTTTTACTAGTGACCGCCTTGTTTAGTGGGATTCTGGTCACGTTCCTGATGTTGGTGCACTTTTCGGCGATATTTTATGATGTGAGTTTAACTTTAAATTTTTAACCTTTTTTTGGGGTAGCTAGCAAAGACAATCCAGGAAAACGTGACGAAAACGGGCAAGCTAGCAGTGATTCTCTAGGAAAGTCAAAATCTCATTTTTTTTCCAGATCCGCCTCCCAATCCAAGTGTCCGGTTGGGCATACATCACCTTACTCGCATTTGCCGTCTGGATGCACATGGTGCTCATTCTGCTCATACTCGATCTCATCTTCTACATCATGTGGGCTCTGCGGAAATGTCGAGGGAACGGGTCACTCTACAAATTGAGCACGTAGGTGATTTCAAATTTTGTAAAAATAATTTTTCTGCATAAAATATTCCTATACAAAAATGTATTATTGTGCTTTTCATGTATCTAATAATTTTTTAGTTTTGTTGCCCAATACCGACTCTTCCAAGTCCTCTTGTCGATCGGAATAAGCTTGCTGTTCGTTGGATACGGACTCTACCGTACTCTGACACCTCCTACCATTGTCAATGAACATATGCAAACTATGGTGAGTGTTTTATAGATAACGTAGCTTGGATTGAAATTGGTGCTTGCAAGCTGCCACTAAAATTTTGCTTAAAAAAGTTAATATGTACGGCCTTAAAATAACTAGCATATGCCAGAAAAGAAATACATCACAGACTCAATTTTAAAGGGACACGGACAGGAAGAAATTTTCGTCAAAATCCAGGCCTGAAGCCATAATACATTCGGGGTTTTTTTCAGAAACTTCGTTCCGGCGCCACCCTAAATATTGCCCTATTGAGCGATATCCACATTGGCCCTAGTGTTGGCAAGAACCGAATTGTCAATATTGTCGAGTGGACGAACAACTTGGAGCCAGGTAGACCACGATCTTTTTCTTGTAATTTGAAGGATTTTCCAGATATTATTGCTATTAGCGGTGATCTGGCAGACGGTTTTGTATCGTCATTAGGTGGTGCCGCGGAACCGATTTGCCGGTTGAAGAGCAAATATGGGGTGTATTTCGCTACAGGTACGTAATGCCGGCTTAAAAAGCTATATAAAGTTTTCTACAAGTTTAAATTAAAGCGCTAGCGTAAAATTATTGTACGAACTTTATATAGTTATTAAAGTAAAATAAGCGTAAATTTATAAATTAAGAATTATCCGAATTTAGGAAACCACGAGTACTTCCACGGAAATGTCGACGAGTGGTTCGAGTTCCTGGAGAATTGCAATATTACCGTACTCCACAACGAGAATAAACGCTTCCGGACGACAGAAGGGGATATGGTGTGCATGGCCGGGATGGATGATTTGGTCACGTTGAGTATGGAGTAAGTTTCTGCTTTCCGTGCGCATTTAAGACATCGGCAGCGTAAATTGGCAAAAAGAAAAAACTGAAAACAAGGCCGTCTAGCAGCGATCCTTGAGGAATTTTAAAAGCGGGGAGTGGGATTTTAGCAGGATTTGAGGTCGGAAAGCAAGCTTGTTTAACTTCCAGAGCCCTTTAAGGGTGCAAATAACTAATTTATATTTTTTACAGCATGCCCGGTCACCACATGGACCCAGTGAAAGCCTTGAAGGGCTGTCAATTGAACGATCTCGTTGTTTTGCTTGCTCATCAACCCAATGCTGCTTGGAAGGTGTTGCAGGACCAGAAAGTCAACGGGAATATCGATTTGATAATGTCAGGTGAGAGAGAGAGCATGAGCGAGAGAAAAAGGCAAGAGAGATGGAGAGAGAGCGACAAAGAGAGACAGATAAAGCGAGAGAGAGAGAGAGAGAACGACGAGAGAGAGAGAAACCCATTTTTTCAGGCCACACCCATAACGGCCAAGTGAACTTCCTGTGGCCGTCCACCGAGGTGATGAACAAATGGAATCATGGCCTCCACGAGAATAAGCCCACCCACACCCAAGTGATCGTGTCGGCAGGGGTGAACTTCTTCGGCCCGCCCGTACGTACTGTGGGAGTCTGCGAGATCGTGAATATGCAAATCGAAGGGCGCGGAACCCCAGATACTAGTCTCTTTGAGAAGTTGCATAATATTGTTCCAACTGAGTTACCAACGCATTAATGGTACCCGATGTAGCCGGATTTTTTCGGAATTTAAGGCAATTGATTGCTTTTCATGTCGTAATGCTCAGTACGTTTTTGAATGCTTGAATCTCAAATTTTGGTCATTTCCATACGTTTTCCCAATTTCTTTTGTCTTTAAAGGAGATTGGAAGTTTCAGAAAGTACGTTATTCCCCAATTTCTGCTTAATTTCCGAGATTTTGTCCAATTTACAAGTCTAAAATATGCTGTGATAACTTTATTTGCCAAATTTGCATATTACCGCCATAGTCTTCCGCTTTTTGAACTATTACGTTGCCCTAACAACCAAAATAACTAGCTTAATTACGGATCAAGCTATGCGTCGCAATTATTTTTCCGAAAAACTGTGCCATTATTCGTTTTTTCCAGTGCCATTTTCGTGATTGTTTCTTATTATGCTAATTACGCTTCAATTTTAATACCAAAACTACTTAATTCAACCCAAATGTGATCCCAAATTCCGTATTACACCAAATTACAGGTTTCTCAAGCCTTTGCCTTTGAGCTTTCAATGACCTCATCTATTACCCAGACTTCTACTTATGCCTTGATGCCTTGTGGCCCATATGCTAATATTCCGCCGAAAAAGCGCTTCACAATAAATTTATCTACAAAGAATTACACGGATTATACCAAAAAATACATAGAAAAGTGCATAAATTACGAAAAGTTCGTTTTAAAGGGAAAGGGTACGAAAAAATTGAGTCTTGTGACTAGCCATGACGACGGGCAATTTTTGACAATTTCTCGACTTCTGATTTTTATGGTGGTTTAACTAGCCCGTAATTACAATATACAAAAATTAAAGCGAATAAAAACATAGTAAATAGATAAAAAGGAAAATACGCAAAAATACGTCGATTCCGGTAAAGTGTATAGCACCACGTATTCAAATTCGGGGGAGGATTGGCGTGGAATTTGGAAAATCGGAGAAGAATCAAGGAAAATCTTTATAAGAAGGCTGGATAGAGAGGGACAGAGGGAGAGAAAGAGCGATAGAGAGAGAGAGAGAGAGAGAGAGAGAGAACCTCGCTCTACCCATTAATAGCTGTTATCGTCGAGGTCAATCAGCATCTGCTTGTCACCGTTTTTGCGCCGTTCAATCTGGAATTGTTAGTATAAATCTGTTTTTACTTTTGCCCTTTTTGGTATCACATTACACTACATTATGTTGCACCAATTCACGTTACGCCAGGGTAGGTTACGCCAAATTACGCTATTTTACGCTACATTACGCTACGTTATGCCACGTCATATTATAACGCTACGTTACGATACGCTACGCTACGCTACTCCACGTTATGACGTTACTCTACGCTACCTTTTTACGTTAGGTTATCTTACGTAATTACGTTGCGTTTAATCATAAGCTTTGTTTCTACCTGCTCTTTTAACTTCCACATGCCCTTCTTCTCGTTCTTCCTCGCCTCCTCGTCTGACCGATCTGTTGCCGGTTTCTCATCTGCGGAATTCTTATCCTTCACTTCCTTGGAGTTGTTGTTGAAGGGGGTCAACTTCTTTACCATCTAAGAATGTATATGAAACTGAATATTCCGATCTACCCACATTTTTAAGTGGCAGTACTCGGCGCCCTGACGAGACTTCGGTGACGGTTACCGGGAACGGGACTTGGGTCTAAAAGTGGAAATTTAGGAACCTAAGTTTCTAGGTTTTAAACCGCACTAGCACAGATTTTTGAGGAAAACTAGGGAAAGACAACAGTTATTTTTGAAACGTTCTTGGCCGAATTTGGTAGTGAACTTTGTTACAACAGTTTTGACGATTTTTAGTTTTGAAAACCTACCGTATCTTTTCCTTTCTTCTCCTCCTTCTTCTCTTCCCTTTTCTCTAATGGTTTCTGCTGGCTGGCCGACGTCCCTTGCCACGTCTCCTCCCCGAAATGTTCGGCAGGGTCGAAAAAGTTGAAGTTTGGGTTGATATCGGCGGCGGCGCTGTTGAGGTCGCTCTAAAAAATCGTGATACTTTAATTAGATTTCGCTCTCTCTCTCTCTCTCTCTCTCTCTCTCTTTCTCATAAGAAAAACTTACGCTAATGCTCTCGTCATGAACTAGCCGTTTGCTTTGACGTTTATGCGAGAGGTCCGTAAAAGTGTTGGACACGAATCGAGTCAGTGCTGACATTTTCTGGAAAATTAAACTATTTTAATTGGAATTTAACAGCGAATTTAATTCCTAAAAACAGGAAATATGACGAAAACGAGAAGAATGTCATTGGGCGGAAAAAGCAAGTTTTAGAACTGGTAGCGACGTGGGGAAAACACAATAAATTGTTTAACATCGTATTTTAATGGCATTTTCACGTATTAGCGTGTATTTTGCATGCACCTCGTTATGTAATAAAAATCTGGCTCCCATTCACCAAAAAATTTAATATTTGAAAATCCTCCCGCCCGATATTGAATTTTCACGCACTCCCCGTTTGAGTCACCCAATTAAATCTGGAATCCGAGTCCCGAAAATAGCAAAAAACGAGCGTGGTGGGCTTAACGCGATAATTCGCGGCTACTGATTCGATTATCACTCGAGGCCAAATACAGATTATGCCAAAATAGGGGGGTCCCCGAACAGCTGACTGGCAATGTGGGGGGCGGGGAAACACAAAACAAATGGTGATAAACTTGGGTGCATCAGGTGGTGGGGGAGGAATAGGATAAATAGCGGTACCAGACCGATATTGGGTTTGTAAGGGCATCTGCTTCAATTCGGATGATCTATACGTGTAAAGATATCCGAAACAGGTTTAAATCTCAGAAAACGTAGCTGTTTTTTTAGAATATTTAAAGTTTTGGAGTTTTTTAGGTACTACTGCAGTTATTTTCAGAGACCTGAAACTTCTCTCATCTTAATTTTGATTGTTGATTTTCAAACAAATAGCTTTGTGAAATTCTTATTTTTTCGCAAAACAAACAAAATAAAAAGATGAAATCTGAAAGCAAAAATGTTCTAAGAAAATCACTTCAAAAATCGAAATTTGCTTTAAAAACCTTCCTTAAAATTAACCAGAAACCCGGTCAAAAATCCAAAATTAATGGCATGGAAAAACCAAAAAGTCGCAACACTAAAACAATATTCGGATTTTTTCAAGAAACCGAAGAGAATCCAACATTATTAAAGATCAAGTTTTCAAACATTCAGCAATTTTTAACATACCAATCTAAATCTAATAAAATTCTTCTATAAAATCCGCCTTCAAATCTATAGATTTGGCCCGGCACTTCAAAGCCCAGGTCAGTTCGTCTACCCCACTCACCACAAAAATAAACAAACACTTCATAAAACCCCATGAACACAACAAGATGGTTTGTTGGGTTTGCCCGAACCTATTTTTCCGCAAAAGGACATTGATAATCGAGTGGTAAATCTGAACCCAAGGCGACCGATGAGCTATAGAAAATATTTACCTTGCCTCGAAATTTTAATGCAAATTTTCAGGTTCTTTTTTGCAAAAATTTAAATTGGATCGAATTCTGCCTAAAAAGATTTTGTCAAGCTATTTTTTAGGAAAAGAACGTCGATGATCGAGTGGCAACTCTGAACCAATGGGGCTCAAGGAGGTCTTTAGAAAATATTTACACAGGCTCATTTTTCAGGGCAGGCCAATGGGGATGGGAATAGAAGGGGGTAAAAGGGTAGAATGAGTGTTCCGGCTGACCCCTTGAGGGTGATGATGGCAGAGACAGCTGACAACCCAAACGATGTTTGTAGTGGTCAAACGGGCCAGGTTAAAGAGAAAGTCAGCGATAAACGTGCGAAATACCACAGCCAAAACGCCGTGGTGATAATCCCGACAGGCTAAAATCCCGATGTCCAAATTCGCGAGTTCTAATCCCGACCGCTAGCCTTCCGACGGCCAAAATGCCGACAACCGGAATACCGACGTTCAAAATTGCGAAAACGAGAATACCGACAACGATAATCCCGAAATCCAAAATTCCGACAGATAAAATCCCGACGTGCAAAAAAAGGTCAAACCGTTGTTGTGATTCAAAAACGCGTCAGGCACGTGCCGGGATTTCCGTTGTCGGATTTTAGCTTTCGGTATTTTCGCTGTTGGGATGTAATTAGCTCCCGATTTCTAACAAAAATTCTGTAGAAACCGGGCAGCTATAATATAAAAACACAAATTTCCTGACGCTAAAGGTCCCGTTCAACACCTCAAAACGTTCAAGACCTCCAAAAATCGTACAAAAGCCCAGGAAAATCCTGCAGGCTCAATCGAGCCAGCCCACAACAAGCCGTGAACTACCGGCAGAGCCGAGTGGCGAGATGGCTGCCAATAAAACCAGAAACTGAAAAGCCAGAGTCGAAGAGCGTAAAGAGTCACTGTCCGGGAAAGCCCTCAGGGGATGGCCGGTGGTTTGAAGCTAGAAAGAGTGAGACAGAGAGAGGGAGAGAGAGAGAGAGAGAGAGAGAGAGAGAGAGCGAGAGAGCGAGAGCCTGGCTGGGTGTTCAGGGCGGTGGAACACATGTGGCCGGGTGCACAGGGCGGGGGGCATTGTGAGGTAGAGAATGCATAAATCGAGGAGGGATTAGAGTGAGGGAGACCACTCATTGTCATTGGGCCATCTGGCCCTATGCCTCGGGAATGGCTGAATAACTACCACCCCCAGGATTGCTGGCTACTGCTGGTTGGACCATTTTGAAGCTTGGGTGAATATTAGGGGGTGTCCTACCAGCTATAGAAATGGACAAAAAAAATATGTCTAAGATCGTCAAAAAAATGCCTGAATTTGAGAAAATGTTAAAAAAGAATAGAGAGAGAGAGACATAGAGAAAAAGAGAGAGAGACATAGAGAAAGAGAGATAGAAAGAACAAGAGAAAGAGAGAGAGAGAGAGAGAGAGAGAGAGAGCGTCAGATAGCGAGACATGCAGAAAGACAAAGTAACCAGCCAAAATCAACTAGAAAAATTTCGGATGGGTTAGCGAGCCCTTAGAAATTGACATATGGCTTACTGTACTTTCGAAAGGGCTCTTAAAAATAAGGACGAATTTGTTTGAAACCGAGATCACCGGAAATACACCCTGTATCTGATTGAATCTGAATGACGAATCGAAAATTCAGCGAATCTCCCCCCGCCCACAGTGAGGTCGATCCGATGGTGAATCTGGTGAACAACCCTAAAACCCCTGAAAAACGCATGCTCTTTACAGGGGGTGGGAAATCTTAGGCGATATGACCTTGCGGGCGCTTATGAGCCGAGGCGGGAGGGAGGGGACATCAAAAAGTGACAATGTGGTGGTGTGGGCGAAAAAGCGAGGAGATGATTGAGGCAACTTCAATGCTAGGTGCCGACACCAGGTATCTTGGGAGGTGTAAAAAAGTTAATGGTGTCGGGAGCTTGGCGTAAAAAGGTGTGGCTCGTAGCGGCTACTAGGAAGATTTGAAAACTCGGGAGTGAATATTTGGGGTACTTTGAAGCTAGATGAAGCCTCTAACCAAAGCAGAAGTATGCCACGATGATGATGAAGCTTACGATGTTATGCTTTCAAACCTCACACCTGACGTAAGCGCGTTAATGACAGCCCCATAAAAATTTAACTATCGAATCTGACTTTTAAAAGCTGAAAGCACGGTTTCCCGACGTTTCCGGTTTCAGGCATCCACACCTCATAGCTTTTGCTGGCAGATCCCTATAAAATCACACTACGATATTCTCTCTGCGCTATCTTATGCTTTTCTCACTACGTTATAACCAATTCTTGCCATACTGTGCAACGCTACGTTATACTACGCAATTCTCAGTACGTTATACTACGCTTTTTTCACTACGTTATACTACGCTTTGATCACTACGCTACACTACGCTTTTCGTACTACGTTGCACTAGGCTATTTTGGTTGTTTTGATACCATAACACCAAATTCCCAAATCCCAAACCCAAAACCCCGGGAACTATAGAACGCTCACA